CTCCACTGGTTTGGGTCTCTCCACCCCCTGTTAACAATAGGTATTAATTAGGTGTCAACTATGGCCATGTGATGCGTGTATCAGTCACATGGAGGCAGGACTCAAAAGCCTGAATTTTGCCTGAAACTCTCAGACTGAAGAAGTCTCTTGGAAGAGAGACGAAACGTTTCATTAAAGAAGAACCCGTCCAGAAGACCTATACAATTTTTTTCCTTTTGATGTAGGAGAAGTTTCAGAGTGTCTGTAGATCATCATTTGGTCCAACAGGTGTCACCTTTGACCTTTGTTTCAAACAGTGTGCTGGTAGGATCTTCCACTCGGGTGGCAGGTGTTGCTGGATGGAAGAGGACGAAGAGTTTTTGATCAGGACTCCATATGGACCTTTAGCTTGTGTTTGTCTCTGTGTGGACTGACAGAATGGGAGCTAATTTTCATGATTTCTCCACAGAGTGGACCAGCAGAGCTCAGAGGTTCTCAGTCCTCAGTCTGCCCGGCCGCATCAGACTCAGCTGGACTCCATATTTAGGGTGTGTACATGTCCAACAAGTCCTTTATCTGTTGTGTCCACAGTCATGTCCATGCTGCACTTTGTAGACCAGTGGTGTCATAGTCTGTGTGCTTTTTGTTATCTGTTATTGTCAGTGATGGGAATAACGGAGTACAAATAAATGGCGTTACAAACTGAGTTATTTTTTTCATTAACTGGTAGTTACTATGTATATTATTACAACGCCGTTACCGTTACCGACCACTAAATGGGGTACGTTACTTTGTCTTCCGCCCTGGCTCTCGTAAGCTGTTTATGTTTTTTCCTTGGTGAGGGTAGGAGGGAYGGGTGAAACAATCACATAAAGGATGATGATGATTGGCTAAGATAGAGTAACAGGTAGATGTTAGCCAATCAGAGGCTGTGTTGTTCAGTTCACTCGCAAACCACACGCTGCAGCTCCAAATCCGAAAGGATAGCAGAAGTAAACTGCAGCAATGARGAGTCTGGAGGGTAAGTTGGCGTTTTCAAAGTGGAAATACAGACACTACTTRACTCTCCTTGAGGTAAAAGGGAAGAACGTGCATGTGAAGTGTACATTATGTCCCAGAGCAAAGTGTTTGTCTACGTCCATCGTAAGCAWCTTGAAGCATCTCATAACTGCACATGGTTCAACAAAACTGGTGGACCGCTGTTGACAGTATTGATGACGATAACAGACCAGGTGTGGCTAATGTGAGCGCTGCTAACAAAGAAGGATGTGGAGCTTCACTGTCCAAGCAGTTAAAGGTGGATTTTTTTGCTCCAGCTTCACAGAAACTTGTGACGCAGACTGAACTAAACAGATTGATAGGCAGGTATGCTGTTGAAACCATGCTCACGTTATCAACAGTTGATTCAGACTTATTCAGAGCCCTTAGTGGCAAAATACCGGGGAGAGCAGGCGCCTGTCTTCCATGCAGAAAGACATTTTCTAAATACATCGATGACGAGTACGCTAAAAGGAATGCTGAGCTGAAGACTGGATTTGAAGAATTAGAATGTCTCTTCTACTGCAGACATTTGGACTGCACAAAATAAAGGTTATCTTGGCGTAACTGCCCACTGGATACATCCACWAAGCATGGAACGAAGAAAGCAGAAGAAGAAATTCTCTTACCTGCCTGCATTTGAGTCCAAGGATTGTGTCTCAATCGGGACCTTCATTCATGACGTCACACACACACATGGACAAAACTGTTGGTGCCCTTTGTTTAATGAAAGAAAAGCTCACATTGTTCACTGAAATCAGTGATTCTTGAGATAAGGGATAAAATAGATTCAAATTTTCCCCAAAAATAATCTAATTATTCATAAAGCTTATGTATTCAAATATGACAAATGTTTTGTTAATGTAAACATATTAAAGTACAGGCTCCCAGCTGCAACATTTTTATGAAATTTACATTTTTACTGGACCTGAACTAGAACTTTGTCAACACCGTCAGGCTAAAATAAATCAATATAGAATTATTTTTGAATGAACCTATTATTGATATTTTACTCTATGTTGTTTCATAGTTCTTTTAATTARGTACATGTTTTAAATGAACCATACCACTTATAAAAATGTATTTAGCTGGTGTTTATTTATTCCTGTTCAGTTAATACAAAATACCCAACTTTGCAATTAATTACCACAATAAACAGTGGAATTTTGAACTGAAAAAAACATACAGTATACGCCAATTATAGAAATTCAGCAGTTTTACAAACAAATGCTTCTCAAAAAACAAAACAAATATTATTTAAAACAAAAACCAACATAAAGCCCATGTGACAGAGTTGACGCCATATAACGGAGGTYACATAGAACTAATGGTGGTGACAAACTTGTTAGTAAAAAGAATATACTGCACTCAAAATGACAATTGAATTAAAAAATAAATGCTGAAAGGTTGTACAACATGGTGAGAAAATGTGTAAACAACCATACCTAAGGTAGATTTCAAACTAAATGGCAAGAATTCTTTGAAATACATTGCAAACTAATTCAAATCTTTCCAAATCTCTTAAAGTTAAGTGAAATCTTTAAAAACAATAATAAAACTGATGTCAAAATCCTACTCATCAAATCTGATTGTCAAGAAAGCAGATTTAATCTCCAGACAATAGACATGTTATATGTTCTCCTTGTATGAAATCCATGACTGCAGCACATATGCAGACTGGTGATGATGGTTCCTTCAGCCTAACTATAATATCTGAGAATTGTACACAGCAGACATCCCAGCATGCTTGGTTTTGCTGGAAATGAACAGCAGATCCATGAGGGTGAAAAATTTCAACTTGAACATCCTGATGCTCTTGGACAATTTTTAATGCTTTAGCCAGCCACCAGTTCTGGTCATACATGACAACAAGCCAGTCTTCACTCTGAACATCTCCAGGGCCTCAGTTGTTGTGCCTTCAGGTCTCCAGCTGGGCTCCTTCTCCATTTCTTCCATCAACATTTCCAGAGACCTCTGTATAACAGCAGTGTAGGCAGTGTTGTATAAAGTTCCTCAAAGTGATACTTAAGTAAAAGTACAAGTATCTTATCATGAAAATACTTTGGTAAAAGTTAAAGTTTTATCTAAAAATATTACTTGAGTAAAGGTCAAAGTATCAGAATTTTTTTGACCTTAAGTATCAAAAGTAAATTTCTGACACAAAATCTACTTAAGTATTAAAAGTAAAAGTACTGAGTAAAAGTGAGCAGTTAGATTTTCCAAAAGGACATTTATTGGTAGGTGACTTCTCCAAAAAATATTTTTGATGGTGGGTTGTGTACAAGCTAATAGGGTGTCATAATGGTATATATTTATACTTCTCATCCAACCACAATTTAAATTTACTCTATCCAGGAGACAATTTATCAGGATAATATTTTTTAAGTAATAACCCAGAATAGTAGTCAAGAGTAATGACTTTCTACTTCTGGTCTACAAGCCCCAGTGCTAAATCTGCTGATTTTATGAGTAGAGTTGCAAAGTGTTCATCTCAGCAATTTAATCCCCTGAACCAGACAACAATGCTCTAACCTTCCAACTTCCTGTGGATGTTACAATGAAGTTACACACTCACTATCTAAAACTTTGGAGCCCTAATTTTTCTCCCCCTGCCATGAACTCTGAGGTCTAAGAGCTGACCAAAGGGTGACCCCTTTTATCTTAAAACAAAAAACAACAGCCCATACAGGGGTCCCTGCGAGGCGGTCCCAAGATCAGAGCCGCTGCTGAGATGTGGAGCGAGGATCCAGCTCCAGCGGCCTGTGCACGGTCGGGGGGATACGTGGAGTCGTCCAGGTCTGGTGTCAAGGCTGAGGACCAAGCGCTGAGGATCGCTGAAGGTCACCAAAGGACACCGGACTTAAGGAGGATCAAGCGTCGGAGTTCGAGACCCCGAGGAACGCCGGACTCCGGGAGGATCGAGCGTCGGAGGTCGAGGACGCAAAAGGATGTGGTATGGAGGACGAGAGGATCACGCCCCCGCCCTTTCTGGCTAAGACTGCTTTTATTCTGAAGACTTGGTTCTCCACAATGCCCTGCCTTTAACTTTTAATTTTATAGACTGCCTTACCTGGCTTTAGTTGTTTTAAATAAATGCCATTCTGACTTTTATCTGACTCTTCTACTGAAGCTCTGCTCATAGTCCCTGCAGTATTTTTTAGTTAGTAATCTGCCACTCGGGTCCCACATGTACACCAGTGCAATTGTCAATCTGTCCAACATGGATCTGATGTCTTATTCAGATTTTATTCTGTTCCAGCTGCTGGAGGACCACATGCTCACTTATGTGAAGAACAAGCTAAAGAAGATCCAGAAGGCTCTGAGTCCAGACTACCCAGAATGCTTCGAGAGTCAGAGGGAGGATGAGGTGCTGGAGAGTACGGATGAAGAGCAGAGGAGGATCAACACAGATGCATTTATGAAGATCACGGTTTACTTCCTGAGGAGTATGAAGCAGGAGGAGCTGGCTAATCGTCTGCAGAATCGTAAGAGGATTTTGATTAACATTTAAACTGATGCAGAAATTAAAACTTCCTTATGATACTAAGTGATTGATTCAAGACATGCAACTTTTTTGTTAATTTTGTTTTTGTCATTCAGAACATTTAACAGCAGTTTGTCAACATAACCTTAAATCCTGCCTGAAGACAAATTTCCAGTGTGTGTTTGAGGGAATTGCTCAAGCAGGAAACCCTACCCTTCTGAACAAGATCTACACAGAGCTCTACATCACAAAGGGTGGGACTGGAAAGGTCAACGATGAACATGAGGTCAGACAGATAGAAACAGCGTCCAGGAAATCACACAGACCAGAAACAATCATCAGACAAGAAGACATCTTTAAACTCCCACCTGGAAGAAATGAACCAATCAGAACAGTGATGACAAAGGGAGTGGCTGGCATTGGGAAAACAGTCTTAACACAGAAGTTCACTCTGGACTGGGCTGAAGACAAAACAAACCAGGACATCCAGTTCATGTTTCCATTCACTTTCAGACAGCTAAATGTGCTGAAAGAGAAAAAGTTCAGCTTGGTGGAACTTGTTCATCACTTCTTTACTGAAACCAAAGAAATGTGCAGATTTGAAGACRTCCAGCTGGTCTTCATCTTTGATGGTCTGGATGAGTGTCGACTTCCTCTGGACTTCCAGAGGAACCAGGTCCTGACTGATGTTACAGAGTCCACCTCAGTGGATGCTCTGCTGACAAACCTCATCAGGGGAAACCTGCTTCCCTCTGCTAGGCTCTGGATAACCACACGACCTGCAGCAGCCAATCAGATCCCAGCTGAGTGTGTTGACATGGTGACAGAGGTCAGGGGCTTCAATAACCCACAGAAGGAGGAGTACTTCAGGAATAGGTTCAGAGATAAAGAGCAGGCCAGCAGGATCATCTCCCACATCAAGACKTCACGAAGCCTCCACATCATGTGCCACATCCCAGTCTTCTGCTGGATCACTGCTACAGTTTTGGACCACGTGTTGAAAACCAGAGAGGGAGGAGAGCTGCCCAACACCCTGACTGAGATGTACATTCACTTCCTTCTGGTTCAGATCAAAGTAAAGAAGATCAAGTATGATGGAGGATCTGAGACAGATCCACACTGGAGTCCAGAGACCAGGAAAATGGTAGAGTCTCTGGGAAAACTGGCTTTTGAGCAGCTGCAGAAAGGAAACCTGATCTTCTATGAATCAGACCTGACAGAGTGTGGCATCAATATCAAAGCAGCTTCAGTTTACTCAGGAGTGTTCACCCAGATCTTTAAAGAGGAGAGAGGTCTGTACCAGGACAAGGTGTTCTGCTTTGTCCACCTGAGTGTTCAGGAGTTTTTGGCTGCTCTTCATGCCCATCTGACCTTCATCAACTCTGGTGTCAACCTGATGGAAGAAAAACAGCAAACATCTATTATGTGGTCCAATTTATTTAAAAACATCCATCTCCATCTCCATAACCTCCATCGGAGCGCTGTGGACAAGACCTTAGAGAGTCCAAATGGACACCTGGATTTGTTCCTTCGATTCCTCCTAGGTCTTTCACTGCAGACCAATCAGACCCTCCTACAAGGACTGCTGACACAGACAGGAAGTAGCTCACAGACCAATCAGACTCTCCTACGAGGCCTGCTGACACAGACAGGCAGTAGCTCACAAACCAATCAGGAAACAATCCAGTACATCAAGAATCTGATCAGTGAGAATTTGTCTGCCGAGAAAAGCATCAATCTGTTCCACTGTCTGAATGAACTTAATGATGGTTCWCTAGTGGAGGAGATCCAACAGTCACTGAGTTCAGGAAGTCTCTCCACAGATGATTTGACTCCTGCTCATTGGTCAGCTCTAGTCTTCATCCTACTGTCATCAGGAAAAGATCTGGACGTGTTTGATCTGAAAAAATATTCTGCTTCAGAGGAGGTTCTTCTTAGGCTGCTGCCAGTGATCAAAGCCTCCAAAAAAGCTCTGTAAGTACATATGATGTGGGATGTTTCTAAATGCATGTTGCATGAAGAAGCACTCTCCTTTAGAGCCTGAAGGGTCTGGTCCTGTTTGGTGGTGGGGTCGGCGGGGCCTGTGTGGTTTGGACAGGTCAGCTGGCGTGGGTTGTTTCGAGATGGTATGGTCTTGAATTCCCAGTGAGTCTTAGTTTTCACTTTTTCAGCCTTTTGTCCCTTATGGGCTTTTGTATGGGTTTTTCACGGGACCTCTTCCAGCTGATGTATCTATGTCAAATATGTGTTCCTGGATGTGGATGTTGTGGGTCTTCTTCTTCACAATGGGTGTGCTTTTTGGGGGGGCTTTGCTTTTGCGGGGCTGGTGGGATGCATCTGCTCAGTGTGGGCTTTATGTGCATCTTGGGGCGGCTGTGGCAGAGTGAATAGGGGAGTTGTCCTGGAACGGGAAGGTCACCGGTTCGATCTCCTGTTCCAGCTGTCTCAGTTGTTGTGTCCTTGGGTAAGACACATGACCCCAATGCCTCTGATGTGTGTCCCATCAGTGTATGAATGTGATTGGCTCTCATTAGTCTCCATAGATGATTGTATATGTTAGCTTTGTAGAGACCTAATAGAGTGCTGTGTGAATGGGTAAATGAGGACACAGATTGTAGTGTGAAGTGCTTTGAGTATCCTGGTTGGGTAGAAAGGCGCTATACAATTACAGTCCATTTACCATCTTTTATTGTGGGCACTTTTGTTGTGTCTTGCCCTCTGCAAGGGCCAACTCTCTGTGTAGGTGGCCCTGTATGGTGTTCGTCCTGCTGTCCTGTGTGGGTTTGGCAGGGTTGATATTTATGGGCCATCTGATTGCATTGCCCCTCTCAGCCAGGGTTGGATGGCTTGTTTGCTGGGCGGTCCCTTGTGGATCTGGGGCTGATGGCTCTCACTATGTCCCTGTGGAAATATGGAGGAATGATAACGTCACTCTCTCTGTGGCATTAGTCCAGGGTGGTCTGTTTACTTGGCTTAGGGTCTTGGGGAGGGACTGCCTCTTTCACAGATTGTGCTGTGGCTCCTCTGTGGTACTCTATGGTTGGCTGCATTGTTGTCTTCCAGTGGGCAATGTGGTGAGCCAAGTGGCACATCATGGCTGAGTGGCTGCCTGGGTGGTGCTGGCGGTCTCAGATTGTCTGTATATAGGGTGGTGCATGTGCTTGCATTGGCTGGATTTTTGCATTTGGCCTGCCACTTGGGTCTGGTGTGGCTTGTTAGCTGACTCAGTGTTGGTATGGGGTGTGTTCCATTGTTATGATTGCCTGGTTGTGGCTGTGGTCCAATGTTGAGTTTGGGGTTGGGTTTGTGGGGTGAGCGATAGGGTGAATGGTGATGTGCATTGGGGACTGTCGCTCTGGTAATTCTGTGTCAGTGATTCAGGAGTGTTTGGGCATGTTGATCATGAGTCCCCTTTGTGTAGTGCACAGCTGTTGTGGGGGTTGGTTTCTTTGTTGAGGTGGTGGTGTTCTCGGTGGTCTATGTCTGTGACTATGCAGACTCACCCAGCAATGTCTCCTTTGTTGGGATTCAGTGGCTTCTTTGAACGGCGGGCTGGCTGTGGGACTGAACATCAAGATTTCAATTATATTCAATTTCAAAAATACTTTAACGATGTCCTGATGCATCTTTAACGATTAACTTTAACTTTAACTTTAACGATCCCAGAGGGAAATTTAGGTGTTGTTGTAACTCATTTAACCAAATAGTTATTGTAGATGCTGATGGCTGTGGGCAGGAAAGATCTTCTGTAGCGGTCTGTTTTACAGCGAAATTGAAGAAGCCTCCAACTGAAGACACTTTGTTTTTCTATGACAGTCTGATAAAGAGGATGGTAAATGGTACTGAACTCATAGAGCGCTTTTCAAGTCCCTCCAGACTCCAAAGTGCTTTACACTAGCAGGAATTCACCCATTCACACTCACATTCACACACTGATGATGACAAACTACATTGTAGCCACAGCTGCCCTGGGGCACACTGACAGAAACAAGGCTGCCATTCTGACCACCATCAGTAGGCAAGGTGGGTGAAGTGTCTTGCCCAAGGACACAACGACTGAGACGGCTGGATGGGGGATTGAACCAGATACCTTCCGGTTCCAGGACGACTCCCCTAACCACTTTGCCACAGCCACCCCAGGATAGTCAGGGTTGTCCACAATGTTCTTGATTTTATGTAAAAGCCTTCTTTGCACCATCTCCAGAGATTCCACAGTCGTCTCCTGAACAGAACCAGCCTTCTTTGTCAGGTTGTTTAGCCTTTTTAGGTCCCTGGCTCTGATGCTGCTGCCCCAACAGATGACAACAGAAGAGATGACGCTCTCAACAAACGACTTAAAGATCTGCAGCATCTTGCTGCAGACATTGAAGGATCTTAGCTTCCTCAAGAAGTACAATCTGCTCTGTCCTTTCTTGTAGACTGCTTCACTGTTGAGTCTCCAGTCCACTCTGTTGTCCAGATGAACACTGATGTATTTATATTCCTCAACCACCTCCACTTCTTCTCCCATGATGGAAAAAGGGTTTGATCTGACACTATTTCTCCTGAAATCTACAATCATCTCCTTTGTTTTGTTCACATTKAAGATGAGATGATTGTTCCCACACCATGTCACAAAGCGGTCCACTAGCTCTCTATACTCAGCTTTCAGTCCATCTCTGAAAGCATCTCTGATACATCCAACGACTGTAGAGTCATCCGAGTATTTCTGTAGATGACAGCAGTCTGACTTGTGCTGGAAGTCTGAAGTGTACAGTGTGAAAAGGAATGGTGAGAGTACAGTCCCCTGTGGTGCTCCTGTGCTGCTGACCACCTGGTTAGTCTATTTGTTGGGCAGTCTTGATCAAGGTGATTGTTGAGGCCTCCACCTGAGTCTTCTAGAGTTTCAGACAAAGCATCTCAGGCTGAATTYTGTTAAAAACACTGGAGAAATCAAAGAACATGATCCTTACAGTGCTGCCTGCATTGTCCAGATGACAGTGGGTTTGCTGAAGTGGGTGTATGATGGCGTCTTCAACTCCACGGTGATAAGCAGACTGCAGGGGGTCCTGATGTGTGCTTGTTTGCTTACTCAGGTGGGTCAACAGGAGTCTCTCCAGGACCTTTATTGATGTGGGATGTCAAGACAACAGGTCAATAGTCGTTGAGTGCTGATGGCTAAGTTTTCTTTGGTACTGGAACCAGACAGGATGTCTTCCACAACACTGGAACCCTCAAAAACAGTGGAACCTTCTCTTGTGGATGTAGAAGAGTCCATTACTGAGGTTGATGATAAAACATCTGAAGTTTGACAGGAAAGCTGTGGGTCAAAGGAGGGTGGGATGTCTGTTTGGCTGGGGGCAGGAAAGGAAGAATATGAGCTTGTTCCTGAGCTAAACCTTTTGAAGAATGTGTTCAACTCATTTGCTCTGTCCAGACTTCCATCCATCCTATTCTCCTTTTGCTTGAAACCTGTGATCTTCTTCACCCCTGACCACACATCTCTTATATTGTTGTTTGTTTGTTTGTTTGTTTGTTTGTGTGTGTGTGCGTGTCCTTATTTTTCCTACATCATGGGGCCCACTTTCAAGGAATATGCAGCCTCGTGGGGTAAGGGTGCTCCTTGTGGGGCCCAGGCTTTGGGCCCCACAACTTCAGAGGCTGATTTTGGCTGTGGGGGTTGGGTTTAGGACCAAGGTGTGAATTGAGTTTAGGTTAGTTTTAGGGTCAGGTAGGTACTTGTGAGGTTAGCCTTAGGGTTTGTGGTCAGGGTTAGGATATAAAATTACCAAAAAATGAATGGAAGTCCATGGATGGGCCCCACAAGGATATAAAAACAAGTGTGTGTGTGGGGGGGAGGATGTGTCTTTCCACACCTCTGTTTTCTGTTTGTCATTTGGGGTTTGAGGCCGAGAGGATGGGCGGAACTTCTTTTCGGGGCCTGGGCTGTGGGTGGGCCCTGGGCCTTAGTGGGGTGCTGGGGTCAGGGCATGAATTCAGATTCTCCTGAATTTTTTGGATCATGGCTCCTGGTTGGTGGCCTGGTGGTCGGCGGCACGGTGGTTCAGTTGGTAGAGCTGATGCCTCTCAGCAAGAAGGTCACCGGTTCAAATCCTGGTCCAGGGACCTTTCTGGGTAGAGTTTGCATGTTCTCTCCGTGCATGCGTGGGTTCTCTCCGGGTACTCCGGCTTCCTCCCACAGAGGAGGTTAGGTTAATTGATAACTCTAAGTTGTCCCTAGGTGTGAGTGAGAGAGTGAATGTTTGTTTGTCTCGTTTGTCTCTATATGTGTCCCTGTGATGGACTTGCGACCTGTCCAGGGTGTACCCCGCCCCTCGCGCTGTGACTGCTGGATATGGGCACCAGTGACCCACGCAACCCTGAAAAGGAAGAAGCGTGTACAGAAAATGGATGGATGGCTCCTGGTTGCCATGGTCGACTTTCTAGCCAGAGTGCCCACCCGGGTTAGGGGGGTGGTTGGCTGGGGTTGTGTGCCTGGCCATCGGCAGTGTGCAACGGAGTTCAGAAGAACGGCTTCACTTTGGGAGGGGGACTGGCCTATCGATGTGATGTGGTGTTTACAATGGCACGGTGCTAAGCACGGGGATGCACTGCCAGCATTGTTGGATGCCTTTAGGGTCCATGGCGTTGGGTTTGGTGGGAAAGTCTAGTCCTTGACCCAGGGCCAGCAGCCTAAGCAGAGAGGCCCAGACTTCCCTCTCCCTCTGGTGGGAAAAAAGAGCAGAGATGCAATCCTAAAGCCACCAAAATGGATCCTTTCAAAACCTTGGCTGCAACTAGAAATTCTGTCCATATAAATTTTGAACAGAATTGGTAACAAAGGGCAACCTTGGTGGAGTCCAACTTTTCAGGCTGGTTTACACTTCTTGTCGCACGTTCTTTACCACCCGCTGAGTGAAAAAAATTTGTGCAACTTCTGTCTGCACTCCCACTGCTATCCCCCGGTGACAGCTGTCCTATACATTGCCCCCAGTCAGCACTCCGAGACGCGAAGGATGCGGAATGGAGTGTGTGATTGGTTCAGAGTTTGTGGGCGTTTTTGTGCTGTGTGAAACTGCTATCCACTACTCGCTACCAGAAGCCTTTTTTGTTTCTAAACATGGATAGTTTTGAAGAGAAACTCACCGAGGTGGTCCGGAGGTACAACCATAATGTGTCCTATACTGTGTCAGTGTGTGCTGAAGGTGAGGGGAGATCCAGTGGGCAAAATAAATAAATAAATAAATAAATAAATAAATAAATAAATAAATAAATAAATAAATAAATAAATAAAAGATCTGGTGGGCAAGTTCCTCGAAAKGAGCAGCGGACATTTGAAAATAGGAGAAGTGTTTTTCGTCATCCATCTCCCGCACAAGCTAAACTCGCAACTAGCAAGTTTTTTTTTAGCAACTAGCAGTTATTTACATGCTAAGCTAGCATGTGATGACTGCGGTGGGAGGGCAGAGGGAGGGATTACTATAATGTATCCCCCACGTCTTTTCCCAGTATAAACACTGAATGATGTCGGTGACACGCAATTACGTCATCGCTGGTCCGCAGCCGCACGTCTTGCATGAAGTATAAACAAACATTCACTGGAACGAGCCTGACTTACTGCCAGCAACGCAGAACAAACTCTAACACTGGTTTTACAGGGGCCTAACAGCCCATATTAATGGGCCTGGTACCCCATACTTCTGGAGTACCTCCCTCAAGACGCCCTGAGGGATACAGTCGAACACCTTCTCCAAGTCTACAAAACACATGTAGACTGGTTGAGCAAACTTCCATTCACCCTCCAGAACCGTGCTGTGGGTGTAGAGCTGGTCCAGTGTTCCACGACCAGGACCAACACCACACTTTTCTTCTGAATCTGAGATTTGACTATCCAATGAACGCTCCTCTCCAGGACCCCTGAACAGATCTTACCAAGGAGGCTTAGGATTGTGATCCCCCTGTAGTTGAAACAAACTCCCTTTTTTAAATAGGAGGACCACCACCCTGGTCTGCCAATTCAGAGGAACTGCTCCCAGTGTCCATGAAATTATTGTAAAGTCGTGTCAACCAACACAACCTCACAACACCCAGTGCCTTAAAGGGATCCATGATTAGTTGTAACATTAGACTTTATTTGATAAACATATATTTTAACTGTAAAGACTGTCAATATACTGTAGGCTGCTTGGTTTTTATAATTTTTTTAACTAAAAGTTTAAAAATATTTTACATGGACGGAACCATTTTATTTACACGCAAAGCATTCTGGGTAAATGATGACGTCGATCGGTCGTCTGTGTGATGCTGCTAGCGATCTACAGTATATCCACCCTGAAGGTTAATCTTGGACAATATCTGATGATCGGCTTTTTTAAATGAAACCAAAGAGCGTTGACAGAGAGGAGAAGGTAGAAACGACTCAGCCTGCAACTGAAAATATGGATGGAGGATCTCAGTTTAGCTTGTTAGCTTTAGCGTTAGCGCTGAGCTAATACATATAAGGCAGTATAGCATCAGTGCTAAAGCTAAAGCTAACAGGCTAAGCTGAGGTTCTTCTTCCATCAAGCAGCTCTGTAAAAGAGCCGATCATCAGATATTGTCCAAGATGAACTTTCAGGGCGGATATAGCTCGCGCACACCAATGACCTATCCACATCACCATTTACCCAGAATGCTTTGTGTGTAAACAAAATGGCTCTGACCATGTTAAAATATATTTAAATACATATTTTACAGTTAAAATAAGTGTTTATCAAATAAAGTCTAATGTTACAACTAATCATGGATCCCTTTAAGGAACTCAAAGCAAATCTCATCCTRCCCCTGGGCCTTGCCATTGAAGAGCTTGTTTACCACCTCTGTGACCTCAGCATCAGATTGGAGAGCCAATGGTGGACCAGAATCATCTGGAAGCCGTTTGGAAGTTGTTCTCCATGGCCTCTCTGAACTCCTRCCACACCCAAGTTTTTGCCTTAGCACCACCCAAGCTGCAGTCTGCTTGGACTGCCGGTACCCATCAGCTGGGTCCAGAGTCCCACAGGCCATAAATACCTGATAGGATTTCTTATTCAGCCTCACAGCATCCCTCACCGCTTCTGTCCACCAGAAAGTTTGAGGGTTGCTGCCATGACAGGAGCCAACCTCCTTGTGGCCACAGGTCTTGTAAGCTGCTTCGACAACATGGCCCACTAGGACTCAATGTCACCCACCTTCCCTGGAACATGTTCAAAGCTCTGTTGGAGGTGGGAGTTGAAGCTCATTCTGATGAAAGTCTCTGCCAGATATTTCCAGCAGACCCTCACTATACATTTGGGTCTACCAGGTCTGACCGGCATCCTCCTCCACCAACGGGGCCAACTCACCACCAGTTAGTGATCAGTTGACATCTCTGCCCCTCTCTTCACCCAAGTGTTCAAGACATGCGGCCACAGATCAAATAAAACAACAACAAATTTGATAATCGAACTCTGGCCCAAGGTGTCCTGGTGCCAATAGCACATATGAACACCCTTATGCTTGAACAGTGTGTTTGTTATGAACAATCCATGATGGGCACAGAAGTCCAATAATAAAACACCACTCTGGTTCAGATTGGGGGAGGGGCGTTCCTCCCAACCACACCCTTCCAGGTCTCACTGTCATTGCTCAAAACTTTTGAAATCCCCCAGTAGAACAAGGGAGTACTTATGAGAAGCGCTCTCCAGCACCCCTTCCAAGGACTCCAAAAAGGGTGGGTAATCTGAACTGCTGTTAGCCGCATAGGGACAAGCAACAGTCAGGACCCCCCCCCCCCCCCCACACACACACACACACACACACACACACACACACACACACACACACACACACACACACACACACACACACACACACATATGCGGAGGGAGGCTACCTTCTCATTTACTGGGGGAAGGAAATAAATAAATCCCCAGGAGTCATCTCACAGAAAGCTCTTTCAAAAGACACCCCATACCATCACTGGCATGTGTACAGACCACCTTGGCCCATTCACAAAGAAACATGGAAGAGGAAGGGGGGACAGAGACACCCTGCTTCTGTAGATAGGACAGAAATGGAAAAGCTGACTCCTGAGAAGGTGGGCCGGTGTAGTTCTGACTGATACTTTCGGCAACCACGTAACTTTGGGTTTCTTTAATCAAAAATTCAGATATGAACTTTTGGTGTTTTTTCTTTTCTTTTTTTTTTCTTTTTTTTCTTTTTTGAGCTCTGCAAGTTCTACTTGGCACAAATACCGGCTAAAATTATCAAGCAGATCAGATACAACCATAGGCTGTGGATTTATTAAATCAAAACACCAGATTTAAACTTTGTGTTTTTTGAATGAATGAAATAAGAATTGATCTGGTGCCCCCATTTTTATTATGAGCTAACCTAACTGTATCAGAATGGAGGTAGTCATTATGACCCTTCTGTTTTATCACTCGCATTGAATATAATACTAATGTTTTTACAGATTCCTTCTTGCCTTATTTCCTCTTCAGATTGGGTGACTGTACCCTCCACAAGGAAACGTGTGAAGCTCTGTCCTCGGTTCTTAGCTCCCAGTCTTCCAATCTGAGAGAACTGGACCTGAGAATCCATAAATCCGGATTGAAACCTCTGTCTGATGGACTGCAGAGTCCAAATTGTAAACTGGAAATACTCAGGTCAGTTTTTTTCTGCTGCTCTGACAGATTTCTCTACTGTTTCAGTTTCAAACAGTCTCCGAGATACAAGTATCGTAAACATTTTCAGCAGTTTTTAAAACGTCTAAATAATTCTTTCATTTTCTGCTAATCTAATATGGGATCTCTGGCTAAAATAAGTAATAATAATTTGAAAGTTATTAAATTACATCAATAAACCAACTATTTTTTACTGACAAAGGTCTGCAAAAATGTAGAATATGACAAATTTGACACCTAGAATGCAGGCTGGGTAATGATTAGATCTTGGCTAGTAGACACAGTACTTTCAAGGTTAGCAGTACATCATATAACTGTGGCACACCACCTAAATGCACAGGACAACTCTGGGGTTGGTAATCAATAATTTGAAACCTTGTAAATTGTGTATGCCTGTGTAGGCATGCTCAATGTTAGTATTTTGCAATGTGGTGGTTTGTTGAAATACACTTACAAACCCAAGAACTTAACCGACTCTGACAAGAAGAGTTCTACTCCTTCCAACTTTGGAGGTGAGTAACCTTTCCTTGACTTCTAATGAGTGAAAAAACCTATTTTGTCTCATTTGGATTGAGAGAAAGTTCCTGCTCCCGGCACCATATGGACACTATGTTTAGTCCTCTCTGTATTAGATAACATACAGTACACAGACAGAAGTCTTCTATAAGTATGACTAGGTCAGTAGCGTACCCTTGTTTGTGGAGTCTAGATCCATTCAACTCATTTAGTAGGCTGTCAATAACCAAGAGCCAGCACGGGGACAAAATAACTCCTCCCTGTAGACAGCCCTGTCTGAAGTTAAGTTATCGAACAGTCTCCCAGAGTTGACAATGCTTTTCTTGTCCTCAGAATGAAAACAAGCCAACTTGTAGTTGTCTCATCCACGCCTTTGATTGAAGGTGCTCTATAGGTACCCTTCTATGGTTCCCCCTGTATGTCCAGAAAGGGCTGCATTAAATTCTCAAATCAGCAWCATTTAGGGCTGTTTCTATAGAAAGACCTGCCTGATATGCATGTTGTTTAAGACTTAAAGGTGATAGCATTAAAATACCATCGACCTATCAACCTCTCCATTCCCTTCATCAGGAAATATGGTATGCTGATGGGTCTGAAAGATTTTGCTTCTCTATATGTTGGCTTGCCATGTTTGGGCAGAAAGACGACCTTTGCTGTTTCCACCCAACTAGAACATAGCCATTTGCTAGACAAGCAACATACTTCTAATTATTGTGTCCAGAAGCAAGTCTGTTCCACAATGAAGAAAAACTGGGAAAATTTCATCTGGACCACAAGCTTTAAATGGGTCCATCTGTAAAAGGAGAGACAGAGACAGGGCAGTGGTAAAGACTGCCTCCTGTGGCTCAGTATGTGCTAGTAACCTCTGCTGACTAAAAATAAACACAAACAGCTGACCTGGTTGAGATTATAAGTAAGCTCAGGATATATTTTCTATTTTATTGATGGGGAGGAATAATTTAATCATTTTAATTAATCAAGGGAAGGATGTTAGTTTGGTTTCCTTGATGTGCTGTCACGCTTAGGATAAATACAGACACATAGTGCCATAATGCAAACATACAGGGTTTTTGATTAGAACTTTCCTTAACGTTCACATGACTGGTTGTCATGTGAAATGGGGGAATTGAAGAAATTTGTTGGTTTGTTTACTACTGACTTTTAAAAAGCACAACACATTTTATAGTCTTTTCTTAGGTAAAACCTGATATAGTTTTATAAAGCATTGTGTGAAAGTGTTTGTGATTAAACTGGTGATTTTATGTACAGACTGGTCTGAGTGGCTGTCACAGATGGCTACTCAGAGCGGAAGGTACATGCTAGAAGTAGCTACATGCCTGAACATATATTCAACACATAATGACTGAATGTAAAGAAATACTAGCCAAAACAGAAACTATGTCAAGAGAATTTGATCCTGGAGTATAGCGTTCCCCAACTTCAGTGATGATGTCACAAGTAACAGGCGGGGTCAAATTCTGAAGAAAGTGTTATAAGTGACACGACTTCAGGATTACGGGGCTGATGCATGGTGAGAGCAGAGACACTCAGTAAACTTGCATTCAGCCCAGTGATGCGTGGTTGTATAACTCTTTTCACATTCAAACAGTCAACTGTTTACAAACACGCATTAAGGTAAACGAACACGCCTAAATTATCTATTATCTTTCATGTCTGTCCATTCGTTTTCTTCCGCTTATCCGGGGTTGGGTCGCGGGGACAGCAGCCTAAGCAGAGAGACTCAGACTTCCCTCTCCCCAGCCACTTGGGCCAGCTCATCTGGGGGAATCCCAAGGCGTTGCAAGGCCAGCCGAGAAACATAGTCTCTCCAGTGTGTCCTGGGTCTTCCTCTGGGTCTCCTCCCAGTGGGATGTGCCCGGAACACCTCACCAGGAGGCATCCTAACCAGATGCCCAAGCCACCTCAACTGGCTCCTCTCGACGTGGAGGAGCAGCGGCTCTACTCTGAGGCCCTCCTGGACGACTGAGATTCTCACCATATCTCTAAGGTGGAGTCCAAACACCCTGCAAAAGAAACTCATTTCGGCCGCTTGTATCTGCAATCTCCCAAAGCTCGTGATCATAGAGGAGGGTAGGAACATAGACCGACTGGTAAATCAAGAGCTTCGCCTTCTGGCTCAGGTCCCGCTTCACCACGACAGACCGGTACAGCGCCCAAATCACTACAGATGCAGCACTAATCTGCCTGTCAATCTCCTGCTCCATTCTTCCCTCATTCATGAACAAGACTATGAGGTACTTAAACTCCTCCACTTGGGGCAGGACCTCCGCCCCGACCTGGAGAAGGCTCCCTACCCCTTTCCAGCTCAAGACCATCGTCTCTGCTTTAGAGGCACTGATCGTTGTCCTGGCTGCTTCACACTCAGCTGCGAACCACTCCAGTGAGAGCTGGAGATCACGATCCGATGACACCAATAGGACCACATCATCCGCAAAAAGCAAAGACACGATCCTAAGGTCACCAAAATGGATCCCCTTAACACCTTTGCTGCGCCTAGAAATTCTGTCCATAATAGTTATGAACAGAATTGGTTTTAATGGGTCAAACATATTAATTGCCCATTGCTTTTAGTAATAACAAATGCAGCTCTGCTCCAATCGTCCTCTGTTGGATTTGAATCAGTAACTGTGACAGGCTGTGAAGTCTTTTCTACCCCAGGAAAGTTTACCTGGAGAAGATGCTGAAGTGAACTTGCTTGTGTGACTGGTGCTTATTCTGGTGGAAATATGAAGGATAGATGCTGACTGGATACTTTCTGAGAAGCTTGWAAAGCTTAGAAGAGGCACTAGGCCCTCTTCACAAAACTTTGTCCAAGAAAGTAATGGTCTGGGTTAGGCTAAAGAAATTAATAGAAAACCATAGTGTCCAACTAAAGATATGAATACTTGTGTGTATGTACAGTCAAATTTTGATCCCAGTCAGCTTTAGTTTCTGCCAAGTTCTCCCAGAGTATCTGTCTTGTTTGTGTCTGCAGGRTGTCAGGCTGTCAAATCACAGAGGAAGACTGTGATTCTCTGGCCTCAGCTCTGAAGTCAGACCGCTCCCATCTGAGAGATCTGGACCTGAGCTACAATCATCCAGTGGACTCAGGAGTCAAGCTGCCGTCAGCTAAACTGAAGGATGCAGACTGGAGTCTGGACACTCTCAGGTATATAGAGACCTGCTGCAAACACACAATATCTGATAGAGGAAGAAGATCTGGAAACTTTTCTCTGTTCTTTATTCAGCTCTCTCTTTCATATTCATACCAAATACAAGGTTTGTATGAACAAACAGTTGAGTAGGAGTAGGGGGGCTGGGCGATACGGCCTGGAATCAATATCACGATATATTGAGCAGTTCACCTCGTTAGCGATAAATGCACAATAACACTTACCCCCTCCAACACACACACACACACACAC